GGTGCTCCCCTTGTGCTTGTGTTTTATAGCGGCTGGAACCCATTCACTCGACAATCATTCCGTGAAAAGTGGGGTGGTTTAGCCTAACCAAGGGGGGGGGGGGGGGATTTAGCCTAATCCAAGCCACTTTGTCCAAGCCACATAATTCATTGCATTATATATAAAAGAACAACTCTAACCCAGCTGAGTACAGCTTTCCTCTATATAGATTACAAAAACTGCATCTGTACTCAGAATATATAATCATCTCTATCAAGGCTTAAGCTCGGCTACAAGTACCTCTGCGAGTTTGTAACATCTGCTGACGTAGATTTGACTAAATGTAAACTTTGTCAGCAGAACTATTCACATAATTTGCGTCATTATATAATGGAATGTGAAAAATCGCGGAATTCAGAAATAACACCATCAATAAAGTCCAAGAAATGTGTAAGTACTTCATACATAGTGATGTACTGCCAAGAATCTTAGCAAAGTATCCAAAATTTGCTTACTGTAGGTGCAGCCTGCACATGACTGTAAAGTTGCCGCCCAGTTGGGTGGGTGTGGAGCAAGACTAGTAACTGTGTGACTCACCATAGATGTAAAGTGCCTTGTATAGTGACTGTTGTGAGCCTCTTGTTGAATCACTTGTGATACAAAGAAATTACCGGTGTTTATTTGTATAAATGAGTGTATATATGTGTACATGTATATATTACATTAATAACTGTGTAACTAGCTTCAAAAGATTGTCACTTGCTTAGCTAAATGAACTAGAGGATTCAGTTCCTGAACCCATTATGTGCCTCTGTAACCCTTTCCACTACTGCCCACGGAATGGGTATGGGGTGCATAATAAGGAAAGAAATCGAGAAATTGAATCTATTAAGAGAAACAAGGCTTTTCTACCACTTGAGATATCATCCATTTCCAAATTACTGACTTTTCCCGCCCATGAAGCCAATTAAAGAATGGCCCATTCTTCGACAATAATTCAAACTGTCAGCAGAACTATTCCGTCAGCAGAACATACTCAGAACTGAGGCTCTGAGTATGACGTGAGGAATGAGTCACGAGAAGGAGGAGGATGATGAGGAAGAAGAGGAGACGGTATAAGAAGAATTAAGAGGAACTGAATCAGATGAAGAGGAAGAACAGAAGAAGAAGAAGAAGAAGAAGAAGAAGAAATTGCCGGAGGCGGGGAAGTAGGAAAAAAAAGAGAGGAAAAGTAGAAATAATAAAGAAGGAGGTAAAGGAAAACAAAGATAGCTATCGTGAGTGGAGAAGACTGCTGAACGGTGAAATTTATGTCTGTGATTTATGGAGTAGAAGCTGGAGTGAGCACCATAGTGGTGGCCCGGGGTGGTGGCCCGGGGTGGTGGCCCGGGGTGGTGGTCAGGGGTGGTGGTCAGGGGTGGTGGCCAGGGGTGGTGGCCCGGGGTGGTGGCCTGGGGTGGTGGCCCGGGGTGGTGGCCCGGGGTGGTGGCCCGGGGTGGTGGCCCGGGGTGGTGGCAGGGGTGGGTGGTCAGGGGTGGTGGCCCAGGGTGGTGGCCCAGGGTGGTGGCCCGGGGTGGTGGCCAGGGGTGGTGGCCCGGGGTGGTGGCCCGGGGTGGTGGCCCGGGGTGGTGGCCCGGGGTGGTGGCCCGGGGTGGTGGCCAGGGGTGGTGGCCCGGGGTGGTGGCCCGGGGTGGGGGCCGGGGTGGGGTGGTGGCCCGGGGGGTGGGGGTGGTGGCCAGGGGTGGTGGCCAGGGGTGGTGGCCCGGGGTGGTGGCCAGGGGTGGTGGCCCAGGGGTGGTGGCCCGGGGTGGTGGCCCGGGGTGGTGGCCCGGGGTGGTGGCCAGGGGTGGTGGCCAGGGGTGGTGGCCCGGGGTGGTGGCCCGGGGTGGTGGCCCCCGGGGTGGTGGCCAGGGGTGGTGGCCCGGGTGGGGTGGTGGCCAGGGGTGGTGGCCCGGGGTGGTGGCCCGGGGTGGTGGTCAGGGGTGGTGGCCCGGGGTGGTGGCCCGGGGTGGTGGCCCGGGGTGGTGGCCCGGGGTGGTGGCCCGGGGTGGTGGCCAGGGGTGGTGGCCAGGGGTGGTGGTCAGGGGTGGTGGCCCGGGGTGGTGGCCAGGGGTGGTGGCCCAGGGGTGGTGGCCCGGGGTGGTGGCCCGGGGTGGTGGTCAGGGGTGGTGGCCCGGGGTGGTGGCCAGGGGTGGTGGCCCGGGGTGGTGGCCCGGGGTGGTGGCCCGGGGTGGTGGCCAGGGGTGGTGGCCCGGGGTGGTGGCCCGGGGTGGTGGCCCGGGGTGGTGGCCCGGGGTGGTGGCCCGGGGTGGTGGCCCGGGGTGGTGGCCAGGGGTGGTGGCCCGGGGTGGTGGCCCGGGGTGGTGGCCCGGGGTGGTGGCCCGGGGTGGTGGCCCAGGGGTGGTGGCCCGGGGTGGTGGTGGGGCCCGGGGTGGTGGCCAGGGGTGGTGGCCCGGGGTGGTGGCCCGGGGTGGTGGCCCGGGGTGGTGGCCCAGGGTGGTGGAGCAAGTTATATAATATTAACCTTAAATTTCTGAAGTTTCGATGCTCATAAACTATAAACAATTTCACCATTATTGAGGGAAGATGTAGAGGTTTCGTCAGTGGTTGCTTAACTGCAAGGTGAGTCCTGGCACTGTTTCTACTATATATTTATATTCACACGAGACATACTCGCTCGGTGAACATCATGAACCATTTAAAATGATATATCAGCGTAACTATACCTCCTGTCACACAGGATATGATGAGGTTCGAACCCTCATCACAGCTCTTGTGTATGTGTTCAAATACCTCTTGTCATTAGGTGCCAGGAAGCTAAAGCTGGCATCTCTTACGCTGTGGCTAATGAGGGCCAAGTGGCACTGACTAATGACTCACGTAATGGCCCGTGGCACCTTCAAAATATGAGGGGCTGTACCCTCCCTGACTCTTGGGTTCGGCCACTCGCGAGGAGGAAAATATATGACTCGTCTCAGATGGGTCATTACTCATAATTACGTGCGGAGCTCACGCATCCTGCCGTAGTGTTGGTGCGGCGCTCACGCATCCTGCCGTAGTGTTGGTGCGGCGCTCACGCATCCTGCCGTAGTGTTGGTGCGGCGCTCACGCATCCTGCCGTAGTGTTGGTGCGGCGCTCACGCATCCTGCCGTAGTGTTGGTGCGGCGCTCACGCATCCTGCCGTAGTGTTGGTGCGGCGCTCACGCATCCTGCCGTAGTGTTGGTGCGGCGCTCACGCATCCTGCCGTAGTGTTGGTGCTATCACTATCTATTTTTACAACTGAAATTATACACCTTATACCAAGCTCAACAAATAATCACAACATTTCAATTTGGGATATATACAGTCTGAAGTGACTCCAAGAGTGCGATTCCAACAATTACATACTCTTCCACAACGTGCAAAGAGTTTGTTCATCCATGCCCTCAACTTCTCCCTGAACATTTTTGTTTTCTATTAAAAGGTTTTGACACCTCTATCCAATGAGTCCCAGCGCGTTGTGGTATACTCCATAATGAACGTGAAGACCAACTGACCAAAGCGGTACACAACACGCCTCACATTACCCATCATCCAATCCCTCAAGTTGAGCGCAAAGGAGCCTTCAAAGATACCATCACCCAAGATTTTGTAACGAAATGAGAAACGTCATGCTAACCTCTATAATATGGGTCCATAAAAAAATGGGAAGCATGGAAGCATGTCAGGTATAAAACCAGAGAAATTGATGTAACGATGATCAGATTAAGGCTGGGACACACCAAACTGGCAACACACAGTTCTAAATACAGAACAGACATCAACTAACTTTGTATTCACTGTCATGTGCCAGAAACAATCGAACACTACCTCCTTCACTGTTTTCCACATTAAGGTGCCAGAGTAAACTTCAAACAAGTACTTATCGCCCATAAAATACCTTTTAACATGGATCATATATTACGAGGCTTTGACCTCTTTTTACATGTAAAATGTCAAATAGTCAAAGCACTAGCTTAATATCTTCAGTCAACCAACAAACTGGGCCACATTTCACCTGTGAATATATCTCGCACCACCAACACTCATACAGAGAAAACTAATGCCTCGCCGCACGAGCACCAACGATCAGCTAACTCCATAAACATAACATCTCGCCCTACTTGCAGGAACGGATCCAGACGGCTAATCACGGGAGAATTCAACCACGGGAAGATAGATTAGGAGAACAAAGATCAACATCGAGGACCAGACACATGGAGAGCTAAGCTGCTGGATGTGGCAACAAGAAACTTCCTAAGCCAACACATCAAGGGACTCACAGAGAATGAGAGCAGAAGACGAACCAGCTAGACTTTATTTGATATTCACCTTGAAGGAGTCGGATATAAAGGAAGTTAGGTTAGAAACCCCCATGGAAATGAGTGACCACATTGTACTGATATTTGAGAGCACGGTAGAGCTAGTGGTAATCGCCCTCAAAAAAGAACTAAAAAACAAAGGGCTCGCGTTCCGAAAGGGCAATTATGAGGATGAGAAAATTCCTAACAGAAATACCATGGGACACAGAACTCAGAACTAAGACCGTAAAAGACATGATGTACTATGTCACCCAAAAGTGTCAGGAAACAGTAAACAGGTTTATCCCGGCCCAAAAGGAAAACAAATTAGATGCAAAAGAGGAACCCATGGTTTAATAGGGCATGTATGGAAGCAAAAAAAAATACACAAAAGGGCGTGGATGATATTCCAAAATAACAGAACACCAGAGAGCAGAGAGAGAGATACCAGAGAACCAGGAATGAGTATCTCAGTGTGAGAAGTGAAGCAGAGAGACAGAATGAAAAGTGAGCACTCTCCTGCTCACTGAGGAGTATCCACATTAACCCATCTTAGGGTAACTCCATACCACGTGTTACTTAACATTTTAGCGAGTGTGTTATGAAGCACAGCATCAAAGACTTTACTTAAGTCAAGATAAAGAATGCCGCAAACCTTTCCATTGTCAACTAATTAAACTATACAGATAAATAACGGCTGTTAAAGTGGTAAACACGAGCGGTCCTTAATAAAGCCACACTGTGAAATCTTGTGTGTTTTCCAACATGATGAGCTCCATCCTAATCTGTGTTGAGCTCCTTCCTGACCCATGTATTGAGCTCCTTCGTGACCCATGTATTGAGCTCCTTCACGACCCATGTGATGAGCTCCTTCGTGACCCATGTATTGAGCTCCTTCACGACCCATGTGATGAGCTCCTTCATGACCCATGTGATGAGCTCCTTCCTGACCTATATATTGAACAGCATCCTGACCTTTGTGCTGAGCCCCTTCCTGACCCATGTGTTGAGTGCCCTCCTGACCTATGTGAAGAGCTCTTTCCTGACCCATATGTGGAGCTCCCTCCTGACCCATATGTTGAGTTCCCTCCTGACCCATGTATGGAACTCCCTCCCAATCCAACCCGTCCTCACACTAGGCCGGTTAAAGCAGCGGCCGTCCTCTCCAGATGCATTCATTGATTTTAACATACTGTGTATTAGACACTGGTTTGTTCGCATATATAAATTGATGTTATTATACATAAAAATTCTATGTATAGTTAGGCATAGGTTAGGTTAGGTGTTTAGGTTCTGTTGGGATTATATGTATTTGAAGAATGTGGGTGAAGTTTTTATAGAATTGTGGTTCGAAGAGAGGACGTGAGCGTAGCATTTATTCTGGAACTGTTCGGACGTCATCAGTTGTGTATCGTTAGTAAACCGCTTTTCATTCGTAAAAGGGGGGTTTGGCGGTTGGATTAACGAGCCTGGATCTTTGTAAGCGAGGACGGGCTGCCTGACCTGTGTTGAGCTTCGTGTACACTAGCAGCTCGTCCTCCCATACGTCCTCGCATATGGAACAAATGCTTCATTACAACTTTTGTTTGAACTACAACTCTATAAATGCTTCACTCACGTACTACAAGTAAAAATAATCGCTAATAGAACCTAAACACCTAAGCTAACCAATGCCTAAATATGCAGAGTATATTAATATCTAAAAATATTTATTTATATTTGAGAAAATTCTTATTTTGAATGAACGGCATATTAAAATTGATGAGTACGTTTTAGGGATCGACCCCTGGATAGAATGGATTTGGTCTGAGGACGGGTTGGTGGAAGGATGGAGTCTTCATGGTCACTCGCAGTTCATGCCCCACAGAAGGCTTGTTTGCCAGGTTAGGTTAGGTTAGGTTCTGTTGGAAATCATTTGTATTTGAAGTACGTGGGACCAGAATATCAACCCATCCCCAAACCAAATCCATTCCATCCAGTACTCGACCCCAAAGATGCATTCATAAATTTTAATATGCTGCTTATTCAAAACAGGAATTTTCTCAAATATAAATTGATTTTATATTATAATATATTAGCACATTGTGCATATTTAGGCGATTCTTAGGTAGAGTTAGGTGTTCAGGCTAACAACTGTCTCCTTGTGCACACATGCAGTAAACCTCTTCCAAGTGTACAAAGCACACTACCTCCGAGTGAACAGAGTGCACACACACACACACTGCCTCTAGACCACCTCAGTTGCTTGACACATCTCCCTCCACGAGATGAGAAGTGGAGACCACCCCAACCCCTCCCCCTTCCCTTACCAGTCACTAGGCTTTCACTCCACGAAAAAAATATAAAACATTTCATTTTACAAATTTGCTTACAAGTGCCTGGGAGGAGGAGCTGACAATCAGGCCTCTCCCATGAATACTAACCTCACCGGAACGTCGCTCTCCGGTAGGTAAAAAGGCCAATACTTACCCCTTGTCCTCCATGTCTGCCAGTGTTCTCGGGAAAGACGGGGGAGGGGGAGGAATGGCAACTAAGTTGATTAACAAAAACGGAATAAGGAAAAGAGTAAATGTTGTGAATCAGCGTAGGAAAGAGAGCGATAAAACTAGATTGGTGTCCATGGCTAGGCGGCCGGCCCTCATAAAGCGGGGTGAGGCGACCGGCCCTCATAAAGCGGGGTGAGGCGACCGGCCCTCATAAAGCGGGGTGAGGCGACCGGCCCTCATAAAGCGGGGTGAGGCGACCGGCCCTCATAAAGCGGGGTGAGGCGACCGGCCCTCATAAAGCGGGGTGAGGCGACCAGCCCTCATAAAGCGGGGTGAGGCGGCCGGCCCTCATAAAGCGGGGTGAGGCGGACGGCCCTCATAAAGCGGGGTGAGGCGGACGGCCCTCATAATGCGGGGTGAGGCGGACGGCCCTCATAATGCGGGGTGAGGCGGACGGCCCTCATAATGCGGGGTGAAGAGACCAGTGGAACACCCGCCACAGGAGAGCAAACAGTGGAACACCCGCCACAGGAGAGCAAACGGTGGAACACCCGCCACAGGAGAGCAAACGGTGGAACACCCGCCACAGGAGAGCAAACGGTGGAACACCCGCCACAGGAGAGCAAACGGTGGAACACCCGCCACAGGAGAGCAAACGGTGGAACACCCGCCACAGGAGAGCAAACGGTGGAACACCCGCCACAGGAGAGCAAACGGTGGAACACCCGCCACAGGAGAGCAAACGGTGGAACACCCGCCACAGGAGAGCGAACGGTGGAACACCCGCCACAGGAGAGCGAACGGTGGAACACCCGCCACAGGAGAGCAAACGGTGGAACACCCGCCACAGGGAGAGCGAACGGTGGAACACCCGCCACAGGAGAGCGAACGGTGGAACACCCGCCACAGGAGAGCGAACGGTGGAACACCCGCCACAGGGAGAGCGAACGGTGGAACACCCGCCACAGGAGAGCGAACGGTGGAACACCCGCCACAGGGAGAGCGAACGGTGGAACACCCGCCACAGGGAGAGCGAACGGTGGAACACCCGCCACAGGAGAGCGAACGGTGGAACACCCGCCACAGGGAGAGCGAACGGTGGAACACCCGCCACAGGGAGAGCGAACGGTGGAACACCCGCCATAGGAGAGCGAACGGTGGAACACCCGCCACAGGGAGAGCGAACGGTGGAACACCCGCCACAGGGAGAGCGAACGGTGGAACACCCGCCACAGGAGAGCGAACGGTGGAACACCCGCCACAGGAGAGCGAACGGTGGAACACCCGCCACAGGAGAGCAAACGGTGGAACACCCGCCACAGGAGAGCGAACGGTGGAACACCCGCCACAGGAGAGCGAACGGTGGAACACCCGCCACAGGAGAGCGAACGGTGGAACACCCGCCACAGGAGAGAACGGTGGAACACCCGCCACAGGAGAGCAAACGGTGGAACACCCGCCACAGGAGAGCAAACGGTGGAACACCCGCCACAGGAGAGCAAACGGTGGAACACCCGCCACAGGAGAGCAAACGGTGGAACACCCGCCACAGGAGAGCAAACAGTGGAACACCCGCCACAGGAGAGCAAACAGTGGAACACCCGCCACAGGAGAGCAAACAGTGGAACACCCGCCACAGGAGAGCAAACAGTGGAACACCCGCCACAGGAGAGCAAACAGTGGAACACCCGCCACAGGAGAGCAAACAGTGGAACACCCGCCACAGGAGAGCAAACAGTGGAACACCCGCCACAGGAGAGCAAACAGTGGAACACCCGCCACAGGAGAGCAAACAGTGGAACACCCGCCACAGGAGAGCAAACAGTGGAACACCCGCCACAGGAGAGCAAACAGTGGAACACCCGCCACAGGAGAGCAAACAGTGGAACACCCGCCACAGGAGAGCAAACAGTGGAACACCCGCCACAGGAGAGCAAACAGTGGAACACCCGCCACAGGAGAGCAAACAGTGGAACACCCGCCACAGGAGAGCAAACAGTGGAACACCCGCCACAGGAGAGCAAACAGTGGAACACCCGCCACAGGAGAGCAAACAGTGGAACACCCGCCACAGGAGAGCAAACAGTGGAACACCCGCCACAGGAGAGCAAACAGTGGAACACCCGCCACAGGAGAGCAAACAGTGGAACACCCGCCACAGGAGAGCAAACAGTGGAACACCCGCCACAGGAGAGCAAACAGTGGAACACCCGCCACAGGAGAGCAAACAGTGGAACACCCGCCACAGGAGAGCAAACAGTGGAACACCCGCCACAGGAGAGCAAACAGTGGAACACCCGCCACAGGAGAGCAAACAGTGGAACACCCGCCACAGGAGAGCAAACAGTGGAACACCCGCCACAGGAGAGCAAACAGTGGAACACCCGCCACAGGAGAGCAAACAGTGGAACACCCGCCACAGGAGAGCAAACAGTGGAACACCCGCCACAGGAGAGCAAACAGTGGAACACCCGCCACAGGAGAGCAAACAGTGGAACACCCGCCACAGGAGAGCAAACAGTGGAACACCCGCCACAGGAGAGCAAACAGTGGAACACCCGCCACAGGAGAGCAAACAGTGGAACACCCGCCACAGGAGAGCAAACAGTGGAACACCCGCCACAGGAGAGCAAACAGTGGAACACCCGCCACAGGAGAGCAAACAGTGGAACACCCGCCACAGGAGAGCAAACAGTGGAACACCCGCCACAGGAGAGCAAACAGTGGAACACCCGCCACAGGAGAGCAAACAGTGGAACACCCGCCACAGGAGAGCAAACAGTGGAACACCCGCCACAGGAGAGCAAACAGTGGAACACCCGCCACAGGAGAGCAAACAGTGGAACACCCGCCACAGGAGAGCAAACAGTGGAACACCCGCCACAGGAGAGCAAACAGTGGAACACCCGCCACAGGAGAGCAAACAGTGGAACACCCGCCACAGGAGAGCAAACAGTGGAACACCCGCCACAGGAGAGCAAACAGTGGAACACCCGCCACAGGAGAGCAAACAGTGGAACACCCGCCACAGGAGAGCAAACAGTGGAACACCCGCCACAGGAGAGCAAACAGTGGAACACCCGCCACAGGAGAGCAAACAGTGGAACACCCGCCACAGGAGAGCAAACAGTGGAACACCCGCCACAGGAGAGCAAACAGTGGAACACCCGCCACAGGAGAGCAAACAGTGGACACCCGCCACAGGAGAGCAAACAGTGGAACACCCGCCACAGGAGAGCAAACAGTGGAACACCCGCCACAGGAGAGCAGTGGAAAACAGTGGAACACCCGCCACAGGAGAGCAAACAGTGGAACACCCGCCACAGGAGAGCAAACAGTGGAACACCCGCCACAGGAGAGCAAACAGTGGAACACCCGCCACAGGAGAGCAAACAGTGGAACACCCGCCACAGGAGAGCAAACAGTGGAACACCCGCCACAGGAGAGCAAACAGTGGAACACCCGCCACAGGAGAGCAAACAGTGGAACACCCGCCACAGGAGAGCAAACAGTGGAACACCCGCCACAGGAGAGCAAACAGTGGAACACCCGCCACAGGAGAGAACACCCGCCACAGGAGAGCAAACAGTGGAACACCCGCCACAGGAGAGCA